AAGCTGCTGTATCACCCCTAGACTACCTATCCAAACTTCTATGTGAGAGAGGAGTAAACTCTACCTTGTGAAAGCCTCTATCATTTTTGGGTCCCATAGTTATAGCATCTGAACCCATGTATCCTAACTAACACAGGTAGGGGGCCCAAGAAGTTGCATCGTGATTTCGAGGAGGGGTGTAAGGCTCTGGCACCTGATTCACATGTATGAGGGAATCAGTGAATGAGGGAAAAATAGATGGATTGAGCATTTGTTGGATGCTTAGAATATTCCAGATACTGTGCCTGGTACTTTCAGTTATACTTTCTCATTTCATTGGGATACATTTATTATTCCAGTTTGTAGTTTAGGATCAGAGAAGTAATTTGACTAACATCACATAATTAATAAAACGTTTGCTAGAAATGGAGCTACAGTCACTATGCCTTTTAAAACCATATTTTTTCATCCACAGCATACCACTCACTCACCAAATACTGTACAACACAATGAAGTCTCGCCCCCTTTGGAACCCAACCCTCCATGGGTCTCTCATTGTTTCTGCACACCTTGTAAGTAGAAGCACTGACTGTCACTTGTCCCAGACTATTTTTTCTTTTTAATCTTTATTATTTAAAAAAATTTTATTTCTTAATGTTTTATTTCTAGGAGAGAGAGAGAGAGAGAGAGAGAGCGTGAGCAGGGGAGGGTCAGAGAGAGAGGGAGTCACAGACTCTGAAACAGGCTCCAGGCTCTGAGCTGGCAGTCAGCACAGAGCCCGACGAGGGGCTAGAACCCACGAACCGCAAGATCATGACCTAAGCGAAAGTCGGACGCTTAACCGACTAAGCCACCCAGGCGCCCCTTTTAATCTTTATTTTTGAGAGAGAAAGAGAGAGAGCAAGAGCAGGGGAGGAACAGAGAGAGAGGAGACATAGAATCCAAAGCAGGCCTCAGGCTCCAAGCTGTCAGCACGGAGCCCGATGCAGGGCTTGAATTCACAAACCAGCAGATCATGACCTGAGCCGAAGTTGGACGCTTAATGGACTGAGCCACGCAGAAGACCCTCCCAGACTATTTTTTCAAGGATGTTTGTATACCAAAGAGCCTTTGAAAATAGATATAGTTTCCCTCCAGAGCAAAGGACAGAAATGCTTACTCCCCACTAGGAAAGATTTGGTTTCCCTAAGCTCAGAGTTCCTTTCCTATAACATATCGTGTGTTCAGACAGCCAAGAACTAAGGCAAAAGTGTTGGTGTATGTGTTGCATGGAGTGTTGTGAATAATATGGTCCTTTGCCTCTGACCCAGAGGTTTTGTGTCTTCTGCTTCTATCCAGGAAACTGCATTAGGCTAAATTGTTAGCTTACAACTAGGGTAAAATCTTAGTTCTGGACAGCACCTGCCATATTTGTATCATGGTGACAGTCACCATCAGCTTGATACACTTGTGTCACATCACACATGCTTTTAACTTACATTATTTCAACTAAATATGAAAGATCAACAGAACAATGAGGAAAATCATACTACTCTGCATATGATAAAAGAGCCAAATCTGCTTTTATTAGATTTCAGTTTTCCTGTAGATCTCATGGCGTGGCCATTTGCCATAGTGGGTGTGATTCTAAAGTTCAAAGATGCACATTTTTTAGGGGCGCCTGGGTGGTTCAGTCGGCTGAGCATCAGACTTTGGCTCAGGTCATGATCTCACACTTTGTGGGTTCGAGCCCTACATCGACTGCTTCAAATTCTGTTTCTCCCTCTCTCTCTGCCCCTCTCCCAATCATGCTGTGTTTTTCTGTGTCTGTCAAAAATAAATAAACGTTTAAAAAAAAAAGAGATGCACTTTTTTTTTTTCATGTAACATGGTCTCTAAATCTAAATCACCCATTTCTTTTGGTGGTCAGCCAAGGAGATGGCTATCAGATCTGACAGATCTGATAGAGGAAAACTAAGAGACAATAAATAGGTTCTAGTGTGGAACTTTCCTGAGGAATTTAAGTATACTTTTCACCTTCTATTATTTCGCTGTGGTTGTTCACTTGAGAAGTCATGCCCTAATAAGCTATGATGCCAGGGGATGGTAGTTTGGAGGGACTGGTATAAGATTTATGGGTACATTGGAGGGGGGACTACTTTAATGGTCACAACATTTCTTTCCCAATTGAGTATAACACATACTTATCCTTACATCTATGTATCATTTTCTTCTTTTGTATCATGAATCCTTTTTCATATCCAGAGACTAAAGAGTCTCTTGTGCTTGATTTTGACTTTTCTCCCAATCTGCTAAATTTTTAAGTACATCAATTGCTATTTCTTTTTTGGTTGATGTAGTATTTTTAGTTGTTTGTTTTCACTTAGTTGAATTATGTATTACTGGAGATTAAGCAACTACACTTAAAAAACACATTAGGTTCTTAAATTAGGTAGTACATGTACACAGTAATAACATTCAGAGTATAAATTGTTTTGGTTTTGCTGTATCTTCAATATCACCCAGGAACTAGAACACCAACATTTCAATATCTGGTTCTAGATTTATGGCAACTCTGAAACTACTGGACAAAAATGGGCGAGTGGAGAGAGAGAGAGAGAGAGAGAGAGAGAGAGAGAGAGAGTGAGCCTGCAAGTGTGAGTGGGTGAGCCGCACAGAGAGAAAGACAGACAGAGAGAATCCCAAGCAGGCTCTGCACTGTCAGTGTGGAGCCTGATGTGGCGCTTCATCTCACGGCTCATGATCATGACCTAAGTCAAAATCAAGAGCCAGAAGCTTAACTGGCTGAGCCACCCAGGTGCCCCTCCCCCTCCTTTTATAGTTTAACAAATGTTGGCATATTATTCGCTTTTCTTATTTTTTTCTTAATTTTTTTCACTTGAAGTATTTCTTAGAGATTGTTCCATATCAGCACATACTTATGTGCCTCAGTCTTTAAACTGCTGCATGTACCCCACGATATGTATTAACATTTATTATAACAGCTCTCTAATGATAGTTTGTCTTTAGTCTTTTACAAACAGTGCTGTAATCAATATTTTGTGTACACATCTCTTTTCACATAAGCAGTCTTAAAAAAACACTTAACTAGGAACCCTAGTAGACAGGCATCCAGTGGACAGTTCTAATTATGCTGCAGTAGGTCACATAAACCTCTCCTTTGAAAATTCTGTGACTTATTACAAGAATTGACAATTTCTATAGTCTTTAATTGTATTGCTTAGCATGTAATAGACACACTACATTCACAACAATGTTTTCCTCAATGCTGCATTCAGTGTAAAGTCTTCCACACAGACTTTAGTAACAACTAGGAATCTACACTTAATGGGTGCACTGGCTCGGGTCATGCTCTCACAGCTCCAAAATTTGAACCCCATGTCCAGCTCTGCGCTGACAGCCCAGAGCCTGGAGCCTGCTTTGGATTCTTTGTGTGTGTGTGTGTGTGTGCGCGCGCGTCTATGCCCCTGCCCTGCTCACATTCTGTCTCTCTCTCCTTCAAAAATAAACATTAAAAAAAAAAGAAAAGAAAAGGAATCTACACTTAAGCTGCTAACAAGTGGAAATAAGGAATGAAGTATAAAATGAGTCTTAGGAATGAGTGCTCTGAAGTCATGTGTGCCTGAGTTCAAGTCCAGCACTGCCAATATTTATGTATTTCAGAGTTTCTCACCTGTATGACACTCAGTTTTATCATCCATATAATGGGGTGAATATAATACTGACTTCATGGGATGTTGTAGGGTTTAAATAAGAAAATATAATTGATTCTTAAGTCAGTTCCTACTTCACAGTAGGTGTTTAACAAGCATTAGCTATACATGAACTTTTCAATTCAGGTGACAATAGGCTATATAGAAACTTTCTAGCCAGACCTAAGCTTACAGTTGGACAAGTAAAAGCAATTCATCCACAGCTTTCATCTGTACTTGACATAGGCAAATTTCTTGATTTCAGAGATGTTAAATTGTGACCACAAACAAACTATACTTATTGGAATTAAAGAATATGGGGGAAAAAAGAATATAGGAATAGAAGCATAGACCTACAGGGCTAGAAGAGATTTCAATATTACCTTACATTGGATTATCATATAATAGCCATTCCCATGTATTAGACATTTATATGTCAAGCATTTTGTATATATTATCTCATTTAATTCTCACAAGGATCCATGTGAGATAGATATCATTATCCTTATTTTGCAGAAAAGACTGAGGATGTGAGAAACCAAGTGACATGCCCAATGGTGGATCATTTGTAAGATGATGAAGGATTCACACACGGGTCTTCTCGAAAATAAGAGGTTTGTAAACTGCCATACACTTTTCCAAAGAAATCTCACTTATGCATAGCAAAGACAGCTTATGAAAGCTCTTCAATGTCCAGAGAGAGCTTGAACTTCATCTGACTGAAGACAGGGCAGTCTTATCCATTAGCTACAACGGACACAGTGCCCACAAAAATGTTTTAAGTGCTTTTAAAAGTCAGGGGAAAAAAAGATGAACTTGGTCAAAGAAAATGTTTTGCTGTATAACAGTGATATATTCAACTCTATACCAGTTTAGTTGTAAAATATGAACTATATAAGAACATGCATGTGTTTACACTTAAATATACATATGTGTATGTACCCACCTACCTACCTATCTCCACAACACAAGGCCAAAATGTCGTGGTTCCACGAAAGTCATATTGCGGCCTTGCGCTGAAGTGCGCTAAACTTTCTGGGAAGGTGATAATAGCAGACCAAGTTGGAGGGTGGGAAACGAGGTCAAACTGTGAAAAATGTGGTAATAATTTCTCTCTTTCCATCAAAAGAACCCTAAAACCGAGGTTATAAAAGGCAAAGGTGAAACAGAACAGGAAGTGCCCACGTACTAGCTGCATGATCTTGGACCAGTGATTTGATCAATGTGAACCTCAGTTTCGCCATCGATAAAATGGGGATAGGTACTTGGGACGTTGTTGGTTAGGGACCCGACGTGCTTACCGCTATAGAGGAATCGTTCAATACATACATGTTGAGTGAACGCTGTAATTGTGTGGTTAGCATTGTGGCCAGTGTACCACAAGCGTCCAGTAAGCAGTAGTCGGTGGCATTAAAAACTGTAAAAAAGTCTACAGAGTAACAAGCCCAGCACTCCAAAACCTACTGTCTCTCCGCAAGTTCCACGCAAACCTGCGCAGTAACTTCCCTAGGGGGCGAGAGCACGCAAACGCGCTTGCGCGGAAGTGCTTTCCTCCGCCCCTTCAGGCGCCACGGTCAAGGGGGCGGGCCTCGGCGGCGGCGCGACGAGTCTAGAGAGAAGAGCTGAGGAAGGGGCGTGGCTAGCAAGCCGGGCCCCGGCCACCCTCTTCCGGGGCTCCGCCAGCTGCGCGCGCATTCTCCTCCCCCCGCCCCCCCGCCTTCTTTTGTGGTCCGGCCCATTGCGAGGGTGACAGGAAACCCTGTGCAGGGAGCGCCGCCATCTTGGACCTGCCCGAGGAAGATCCTGAGGGAGCCGCAGGAGCAGTCGCCGCTGCCACCGCTACTGCCGCCAGTGTGTCTGCACCTCCTCGGCCAGCCCGCTGTCTGCCGGGGCCTCGGCCGATCGCCCCTGCCCCTCTCCAGCTGCGCCCGCACTCCTCTTCATCGTCCTGACGCCCCCCTCCCGCCCGGAAAGCTGCCCAGCCACCAGCAACCCCCCAGGTAACCCGGGCCTTCTGCAGTGTCCGTCCGGCCGAGGCCTCCTCGGCCGGCTCGCCGGGGGCCGGAGTGCCGAGGACGCCGAGCAGGGCGGCGGGCGGGTGGCGCCGCAGGGTCGGCCCTGCCAGGCCGCGGCCAGCCCGGGGTCGGCGGTGGGCGCTGCGGCGCCCAGCCGGACGGGACTCCCGTGCGGGGGCGGGGGTGTCCCCGCGCCGCGTCCGCCCGAGCCTCCGGTCCTCCCCGCCCAGCCGAGGGCTGCGGGGCGTGCGGGGAAGGGTGTGTTCGGCCGCGCCTTCCCCGCCTCCTCGGCCGGACTGGGCGCACACGCACCTCCCGCAGGCCCCTCTCCCCGCTGCCGGTGTGGCGGGCCACCCCCGCCGTATTTCCCCACGCGGGCCGCGCCGCCTCGCGGCCCACGAGCCCGGACGTGGCGTTCCCCGTCCCGCAGGCCGCGTCTGCCCGGAGTACAAAAGGCGGCACCTCGCAGCCTCGCCGGCATCTTGGACTCGCTCCGGCGTCCTTGTCGGTGTGGGTAGCCCGTGCACTTGGGTTGGGAAAGGGGGCTTAGGCTTGCGAGGTTCTGGTTGCGGCGAGGCCCTGTAAGGCCCCTGACTTCCCCCGAGGCCTCGAGCTAAGGTAGGGGGCATCGGGAAGCAGCGGAGAAGACAAAAAAGTTTTGGCGTTTCGGGAATTGAAGGAAAGAGGGCGAAGCGAGCGTTTGTTTTGATGGTTGGCACCTTACTGTGCGCCGGGCGCAGATGAGGCGTCTTCACCCAGGGTTTTCCCCCGAGGAGCCCTCGGGGAGCAGTTAAAGTTCCCTTCCTTGTACAGGCGAGGAAACTGAGGCTTGAAGTTCTGTTGGGACTGGTTCATGACGGTACCTCCCGGGCGGCCTCTCCCCGGGGTTCCTCTGCTACACCCAGCGTCAGGCTAGGGTTACAGGCATGGCCCCGGAAAACGTACCCGCAGCCGAATTCCCCATTCCCTACGTTTGCGCTGGACGACAGCCGGTGACTCCTTTGTAACTCAAAGTCTGTGCTGTCACCTACCCCCCCCGCCAGTGCTCGTTCTCACAACTCCAGAGGGGAGATGGCAAGGCTTTCAGCCTCTGTTTGAAGAAGAAACCGGGGTTCCCAGAGGGCTAGTGCCTTTCTGGTGGTCGCACCCAAGTGTCATAGCTCACCCGAGCCCTTGCCGAGTTCACTGCTCATTTTGTTACTGTCACGACTGCCTTTTATTTGTATGTGGTCATTGGAGGCAGACTCGACCTTGCAGTAATCCGGCTCCCACTCCCTCTTCCCCCAACACTTCCCTGTTTTTGTTTTTTTTTCCACAGTTCTGCTTAGGCCCTTTTACTTGTTCGTGCCTTGAGGCATGTAGTGGTTAAGAGTTTTTGGAGGGTTCCTAGCCAGTAGTGCCGCTTTCTAGTTGAGTGACCTTAAGGAATTGACTGAGCTTCTCAGAGTCAGGTGCCCTTATCTATACAAGGGATGATCGTACCTGCATTAAAAAGTTTTAATTTTTTTTAAAATTTATTTCTGAGAGAGAGAGAGAGAGAGAGAGAGAGACAGCGTGAGCAGGGGAGGGTCAGAGAGAGAGGGAGATACAGACTCTGAAACAGGCTCCAGGCTCTGGGCTGGCAGTCAGCACAGAGCCCGACGCGGGGCTCGAACCCACGAACTGAAGTCGGACCCTGAACTGACTGAGCCACCCAGGCGCCCCTGCACCTGTATTTGAGAGTGGTTTCGAGGATTAAATGGGATTAAAAACCCTTAGCACCTTCCTTGGCATATAGTAAGTGCCCCATTGCCTGTAACAGTGCCAGGCATGTAGTGGTTGTTTAATATTTGTTGATTCAGTGAAATCAGAGAGTTGTCCAGGTAGACCTGGGCTGGGATCTTCGTTTTCACGTTGGTAGTGTAAGACTGTGGCTATATCAACTCTCTTAGTGGGTCTTCTTACCTGTAAAATGAATTTTTAGGATTAGAAATTGCTTATAAAGTAGCTGGCATTTATTAGGTTCTCAGTAAATGGTAGTTATTGTAGAGGTAAGATCCGTTTAGATTCTAATAACCTAAAAAAATTCCTTGAAATTAAAGCTACCTTTTAAAAAGTTTCTGCTTTTTGTGTTTCACGTTAAACTTGTTGTGGCATACTTGAACTGTGCAACAGAATTTGGAGTGTTCTTAAAATTAATCTTTATCAGTAAAACATTTTTGCATAATCTTAGTAAGATTTTTGTACTATTAGGGGAAACTTTTGGTTAAGGAAGGCAAATATATTAAAACTAGGGCAACTGAGAGATTTTTTTATTTCTTATTTTTTAAAAAGCTTGAAACATTTTTGTGTGGTTAAAAATGTCAGGCATGGTTGGAGACAGCAGTGTACAAATAGAGGTATCAAGGAGACTGTACTTTTAAAAAACTTTATGTTCTGGATAGCTTTAAACATATACAAGATAGAGTGATAGATTGAGCGAGCCCTCTTACCCCCATCAGCCAGTGTTAACAGTGTTCAGTCTTGTTCTTCCATATACACCTGTACCCTCTCCACCAAATTATTTGGAAGCAAATTTCAGACATCATATTTCATCAGTAATTTGTTATTACTAAACCTTTTAGCTCTAGTACTAAGTACAGGGTTTTAGTGTTTTGTCCTTTTAAGTACTTTAATTCTATGAACAGAGGTGCAGTATTGGAGTGCTTCTTATTCCTAGCATACCATCATAATTAACTGGGAAGGTTTGTCTTTTTCTTGAGACGGTAAGGAATCTAGTTCCTAATTTGTATTAATTTATATACAAGTATGACATTAATTATTTTGTCAGAAGTGAGTTTTTTTTAAGTGGATGTTAGAAATGGGAGGGATATTTCCAGAGGTTGCATTACTGTTGAGGAAGGGAAATTGACCACTCATGTTGGTTAGATTAGATTATTAGATTAACTGACCAAGTTTTGGGTCCACTTGTCTGACAGATCAAGTAGCATTCCATGTTAGAGGGCTTGTAAACAAATCCGACTGCTTCTGTTCTTAAGTTTCATGAAGGCAGGACCAGTGATTTTTGTGATCATTATTAGTGTGTTGTCCAAGCCTAGCCCCAAGGATTTGTGCTTAGTAGATGCTCAACAAATAATTTTGAATTGGAATCACAAAAGCAGTCTATCTTGGCTCTGGTGTTTTAAACAAAATGTCTTGCATGTAAAAAACTCAAAAACAAGCCTAACTAATTTTAACATTGAGGATCAGAATTTAAATTACCTGGAGTTTTTTTGTGGGTTGTTCATGTCGTGAGTTGTATTGAATAAGTTATGTAAAAATTATATGGTAACATGTTTTAAGGAGTAGATAAAATAGCTATATAGCAGTTGTGAAAGGATTAGTCAGACATAATGCATAAGTTAACACAGTAAAAAAAAAAAACAAGCTATGTAAAAAAAAAAGCAGAAAAATTACTGTCCATTATTGGAGGGAGTATTTTTTTATTGTTTTTTGAGGATGATCATATGATTGACTTTATATGATGTTCCTCATATTGTAAATGTGGAAATAATGTTGGCAGTCTTGTGGGAATTTTTTTGGTTCTGTTCATTATTTAATTTTGTATTATAATTATATATTAAAATCTTAAAATATTTCATAGCTTTTAACTTTCTCTACTTTGAATGCTTTAAAATATTACTAGTGAATATACATGCTCATACCGCTTGTGCAGGGATATATAAAGAAAGTTAATAATTTCTTCCTATCCTTTTTCTCCTCTAAATCCATGTATTCATTTTTCACAGTTTTGTGTGTATCCTTCCATATTACCTGTATACGAGATTGAGAGAGTGTGTGTATGTGTTTAAAAATGGGATATGCTATTGCATAAAATTCTGCCAACTTTCTTTCACTTAAAATCATGGATATGTTTTCAGGTTAATGATACATATATATCTAGATGGTTTTTAAACTAATTGCATATTATTTCATAATACAGATGTAATTTATTTTAGTCATTTCCCGTTGGTAGGAGTATAGATTGTCTCCAGGTTTTGTTTTTCATGGTTTTTTGTTTTACTTTGTTTTGTTTTTGTTTTGTTTTGCTGTAAAAATGCTGCGTTAAATGCACTTGGACATTAAATGCCTATGGACTGAAGATTTTGTGTCTGTAGGCTACTTGGTCAAAGGGTGATGTGGATTATCTTTAAGATTTTAAAATCTATTGATTACTTCCCCCAAAATGTGGTAATTCATGCTTCTGTAAATTTAGTGTAGGAAAATACTTAACCTTCACATCTGTCTGCACATTTCAAATCCAGACATTTATATGTCTGTATAATTTTATTTGGAGAGATGTCTGATTAACTGTATGGAGACCATGCAATTTTATTTTGGGGGCAACATGGTTAGTGGGTAGTGTGCACTCAGTAACCATTTAGATCTCTGTGTATTGGCCTGGAAATATATCCATGATTTTTGT